ACTTCTGGCCCTTTTGCTCGCCCTCCTCCTCCTGATCCTCCTGATCCTCCTCCTCCTCATCCTCATCCTCCTCCTGATGATGATGATGATGATGATGATGATGATGATGATGATGATGATGATGATGATGATGACCACCAGCATCATCATCAGCATCATCACCAGCATTATCCTCATCATCATCATCAGCATCATCATCATCAGCATCATCACCACCATCATCAGCAGCAGCATCAGCATCAGCATCAGCATCAGCAGCATCATCATCATCATCATCATCAAACTCATCGTTCTTCTCCACACTCCCTCATCCATCCATCCAGCCTCCTTCTTCTCCTCCTCCCTCCTTCGCACGGTTCGGCCGTCCACCTCGTTGCTCCCGCACTTCCCTGATCACCTCAACTCGCCTGGACATCGTTTCTGGATGGGCTGGTGGGGATTTGTTTTTCATCGCAGCCGCAGGCGAAGGCGCCCGCAGCGGGTCGAGTCGGCTCGGGCTACGAGCGAGCTGGTGGGGAGTCTTTTCGGTCGCGGCCGCAAGCGAAGAGGCAGGCGGCGGGCAGGGAGTCCGGGCAAACGGGCAAGCCTAATTAGCTACAGAAGGCACAGGCCGGCCGGCCCACTCACAAAGCAGCTGCGAAGCTGAAGGGGAGCTGACGGCGGGAGGCATCCTGAGAGCTCGAGCACGTGCCCAGGACAAAATGTCTTGGAATTCGGTGCCTGCCATCGGCACGACCCACACAATATGAGACATGAACCAGAGTAACCGAGTCCGTCGTTCTGAGTGGGGGCAAGCGCGAGGCCTGTGAAGCGAGTCGCCGGTGGGGCGCCAGGCTCCAAACGCCATTGACGACGTGAGCTAGCCAGGGGGGCTGAGCTGTCGCGAACCGTGATGCAACGCAACTGGTGAAAGCTGATGGTGAGCCTGGGGTGCTGCAGCTGCTGCGGAAGGCTGAACCACTCCGTGGCGATATCAACACCCGCCAGTCCACCCGAAAAATGCAAGGGGGAACCAAGCGACTGTGAACCACGCAGACTGGTGGGGATACGGGAAGCGTCTAGAATTGGACACCCACCCCAGGGAGGTCAGGTAGGCCATCTCTGCGCCTGCATGTGCGCGGATGCCTTAGGCGAAACGCGCCAGACCTCCGGCAGGCCAGAGCATATCTGAGCCTTGAGGTGCGAGGACGTCTCGGGCGAAACGGGCCAGACCTCCTCGGGTCAGGGCATATCGGAATCCAGAGTTGCGAGGATGTCTCAGGCGAAGCGGGTTGGTGCACATAGCACAGTTCTGGAGCGTTCCCCCCAAGCCCCCCTTTTCGCGCGAGGGCCAACCTCCTCCTCCTCCTCCTCATCGGCCTCCACCGCCTCCTCCTCCTCCTCCTCCTCCTCCTCCTCCTCCTCCCAACTAACAAGGAGAGGGAAACTGACCGGACCACCTCGGGTCTTGATCGGATATAAATATATACACATATAGATACATAGACACCTATATATCTGTACATATGTCTACATGTCTGTATATAAAATTCCCCAATCAGAGCTTGCCTCTGTAGGGGTCCTAGCGGATTAAAGGTTTAGGTGAAAGGTGCGGCCGATTTCGGTGGCCGGGCCCGCGTGCCCCGGTGCCCGGGTGCCCGGCGGTGCCCGGGTGCCCGGGTGGCCGGTGAGGTGCGTGGCCGATTTCGGTTGCCGGGCCCGGGTGCCCGGGTGCCCGGGTGCCCGGGTGCCCGGGGGGCCCAATAGCCCAATAGCATATAGCCCAATAGCCCAATAGCCCAATAGCCCAATAGCCCTATAGCCCTATAGTTCTACAGCCCCATAGCCCTATAGCCCTATAGCCCTATAGCCCTATAGCCCAATAGCCCAATAGCCCTATAGCCCTCTGGCCTGATAGCCCCATAGCCTTATAGCCCTATAGCCCTATAGCTCTACAGTCTTATAACCCTATAGCCTTATAACCCAATAGCCCAATAGCCCTATAGCCTCATAACCTTATAGCTTTATAGCCCTACAGCCAGATAGCCCCAACAAAAATCTGATTGGGGTTTTCTCCGGTGTCATATATACATGTGTATATCTTTTATATATCAGCCAGCGTTGACTCCAAATAGCAAGGAGGACAGGAGGAGGACGAGAGGAGGATGGGAGGAGGACGAAAGGAGGACGGGAGCAGGACGGGAGGACGGGAGGAGCTAAATCAAGCAAGCGCAAGCAAGCAAGCGGAAGCAAGCAAGCGCAAGGGAGAAATAACAAGCAATCAAGAGCCAGCGATCAAGTGCAAGCAAGCAAGGGCAAGCAAGAGCAAGCAAGAGAGAGCAAGCACGCAAGAGCAAGCAAGCAAGTGCCTTTGGAAAAAGGGTGGGGGGTCACTGGAAAAAGAGGGGGGGGGCTTTGGAAAAAGGGAGGGAGCATAGGGCAAGCCGATTTGGAGAATAGGAAAAGCAGTTCGGGGGGGCGGGCACAGGCATAGACATAGGCATAGCCATAAGAATTTGGGGCGGGGCATAGGAATCAGGGGGGCAACGGACCAATTAGTAGGGTTTGAGTTAGAAACTCCTCTAGGGCAAGCCTACTTGGATAACACACAGAAATCGTTATATCCGTCAGTATATATTAAAATAGGCATTACACATATACACATGTCAATCCATACAAACATATATGTGTATGTGTATGTATATGCGTGTATATATATATATACACACGCATGGATATACGTGCATGCATAGGTGTGTATCTACACATATGTTCATCGACGTATGTATACACATGTCTACCTACCTACCTACCAACCTACCTACCTACCTACCTACCTACCTACCTATTTATATGTATCTCTAACTATGCATCGCAACATGGATGTACATGCGTTGCTGCAGCCGCCAACCGCCTGCGGATTGCTTGTAGGTGATGCGGTCTACACCGCTTTGACGTTGCTGCTGCCTCTGACTGCTGGCTGCCTGCAAATGTTGCTCGTTGCTGCTGATGCTGCTGCCGGCTGCTGCACGCAACCGAAAAACGGTCCTGCCTGCCGATGCCGTGCGGGCTGCTGCCGATGCTGCCTGCTGCCGCCTGCTTGTGCTGGCTGGTCTTAGGTCGGGCATGTCCCCCTGCAGGCGGATGTTGGACGAAACATTACAAATACCCAAACAATGCCCCAAACATGCCCAAACATAATCAACAACTCGTCCCCAAACTATTGTTCGACTATTTCTGAATCTTCCTCCTGCAGAAGGGCAGTGCTACGAGGGGATGAGCACCGAACCGCGAGGGGCGCCCGGGGAGACGCAGGAGCGAGGCGGGCGGGGGGCAGGCGAGGCGAGGGGAGATGGGCGAGGAGCGAGGAGCGGCTGCCGAGGAGGGATCGGATCGGAATGGCATCGAGGCGGTCCCCGTGCCTCCGCTGTCCTCCTCCTCCTTCCTCCTCCTCCTCCTCCTCCCTCCTCCCTCCTCCTCCTCCTCCTCCTCCTCCTCCTCCTCCTCCTCCTCATCCTCCTCCTCCTCCTCCTCCTCCTCCTCCTCCTCCTCCTCCTCCTCCTCCTCCTCCTCCTCACTCTCCTCCTCCTCCTCCTCCTCCTCTTCCTCCTCCTCCTCCTCCCTCCCTCCCCCTCCCTCCCTCCCTCCCTCCCTCCTCCCTCCCTCCCTCCCTCCTCCCTCCCCCTCCCTCCCTCCCTCCCTCCTCCTCCCTTCCCTCCTCCCTCTCCTCCCTCCTCCTCCTCCTCCTCCTCCTCCTCCTCCTCCTCCTCCTCCTCACCTCCTCCTCCTCCTCCTCCTCCTCCTCCTCCTCCTCCTCCTCCTCCTCCTCCTCCTCCTCCTCCTCCTCCTCCTCCTCCTCCTCCTCCTCCTCCTCCTCCTCCTCCTCCTCCTCCTCCTCCTCCTCCTCCTCCTCCTCCTCCTCCTCCTCCTCCGGGTTACTCCTCCGGGTTACTCTTGTTCCGTTGATCCACCGCCCGCCCCGACAGAAGGCGGCCAGGCCATGAGCCTGCAGGCAGCCCAGCGCAGCAAGCGCGGGGGGGGGGCGGCCGGCGCTGAGCGCACGAACGAGTATTGCAAAGCAGGAGGGAGGAGGGGGGAGGGAAGGCCGAGCAGGAAGAGGCGAGGGCGGAGGAGAGTGTGGGCGGGGGAGAGGGGAGGGCGAGGGGAGGCGTGGATGGTGGGGCGAATGGGGGAGGAGGCAGGAGCAGGCAGGCCCACGAGCGGAGGAGTCGGGGGGCCACGAGGGGGAGGCCAGGGGGGAGCGAGGAGGAGTGAGAGGAGGAGAGCAGGGAGCGAGGGGAGAAGTGGGGCGAGGAGCGAGCGGCGACATCTCGGAGGGGCACCGCGAGCGAGAGCCGCGGCGGCGCCGCGGTTGTGAGGACGTCTCGAGCGGCGGCGCCGCGGTTATGAGAATGTTTTGAGCCGCGGCGCTGCGGCTGTGGGGATGTATCGAGCGGCGGCGCGTCTCAGGGACGGGGGCATGCAAGGGAGGGTGGGGGGGGGCACACATAGAACAGTGAGGGGAGGGCATAGCACACGTCAGGTGGGGTGGGCTTGGGCAAGTTTTCTCCGGATCTGGGCAAGTTCTCGGGATCTGGGCACGGGATGTTCGCGAAATCGCTGGTACATCCATGTTGTGATTTCTCAAAAACTGGTTTTGTTTTGGTGGCTTATGTTTTTACATCTCCTGAGAAGGCAAGGCGGCACACAGCACAAGTCTTCAGGTAGTCGTGCTATGAAGGTGGCCCTGAGTATACCAACCTCCACATCTGGCCTCGCGGGCTCAGAGCGGCAAACTGATGCAAATACAGCTGTCGTAACGCACACCAGCCTGTCATCGCAGCCATCTCGCCTGTGAATTGCCGGTCGCAACTGGCCCATCGAGATGCCAAAACGTGTTCCTGGTCTCCGAATATTGATGTAGTTCACCTCGACTTGGCCTGATGTCCCCATGTCGTGTCCGACTCCACGTTCAAGCCATGCTGGGATACCTCTCTTCGGATGGGGTCGTGAACTGAGAATCACAGCTCGTGAGCGGCGCCATCGCCCAGGCGCGAAGGGAAAACCGTGACGCCCACCAGCTTCTGGATCCTGCAGATCGCGCTCCCCTCCTCGCAAGACCCCAGCTCCTTGGGAAACTCCGCTTGCGCACTAATGCCCTCTTCCTCCTTCCTCCGCCAACTCCCTGGTGCTCCATTTGCCTTTCGGGGAGATTGGGCAGGACTGGAGGGAAGAGGATTACATTGGTGCACGGAAGAAAAGTGGCATGGGAATCTCCCAGTCCTCAACCGCCTTCCTGTCCCCACTACGCAACTTGATGCCACGAGTGGCCGTGAGGTCGTAATCCTTGCTTGCCTTGGTCATGAGAAATGACGACACCCGCTCCCTTGCCCAACCGCTGATCGCGGACACCTTGCTCAAAGTCTCACTAGAATCCTGAACACAAACGCCGTGCGTTTCCCATTGAAGCGTCGGTGCAGTTCCATTCGTCCCGAGGACGCTGTTCAGAGCCACGTGTGGTCTCAAATACCCCATCCAGAAAGATTCTCCGCATAAGTGCACGTAAAAGTGAGAAACAGGTGCGAATGAGTTCACAAAGCTAAGCGCTTTCTCATACGCCCAGTACACAGCTGCATGCGCCCTGCTTCTACCTGCCCAATCACATGTATTGAATTGGCCATTCAAAGCTTCGATACCATTGAGGTGGAGCCTCAGTAAATAGTCTTCGTAGTCACTCCCGCTCTTCGAGCAAATCCGCTCGAACTCGTCCCGCCAGCGTCGCATAGTCCTGCTGCCACGCGCCGCGGCGATAAAGTAAGTCTCGAAGAGCATCCCGCTTAGGTGAACCCCGCTTATCTGCGCGGACGGGTGGATCTGGGAGGCCACCTCCAATGCGCTCCTCCCTCCCTCCTGGACAATGGGACGGCACAAAGGATGGATTGTTGTTTGGGTTGACAGCTCTTCTCTGTTCGGGTCGAGTTGATGTTGTTGTTGTTGTTGTTGTTGCTGGCGCTGCTATTGTTGTTGCTGCTGCTGCTGTAGTTGGTCGTGTTGCTCTTGTTGTTGTTGCTGGTGTTGTTGCTGCTGCTGTTGGTGTTGTTGTTGCTGTTGTTGGTGGTGGTGTTGGTGGTGTTGTTGTTGTTAAGATTGTTGGTGTTGATGTTGTTGCACGCGCGTGTACATGAGTGTCCGTGTAAATGCAAGTGGAAGTGGAAGTTTAAGAAACAGTGGGAGTTCAAATATAAGTGCAAGTGCAAGTGTAGGTGCATGTGTAGTATGGTTTAGTGCGGTGTGGTTTGTGGAGTGGAGTGGTGTAAGTGTGTGTGTGTGTGTGTCTGCGTGTGTGTGTGTGGTGTTGGTGTGTATGTGCGTGTGTGTGTTTGTGTGTAATGTGTGTGTGGTGTGTGATGTGTGTGTGTGATGTGTGTGTGTGTGTGTGGGGGGGGGGGATACGGGTGTGCGTGAGTGCGTGCGTGCGTGTGGGTGCGTGCGTGTGTTTGTGTGCACATGTGCGTGTGTGCGTGTGCGTGTGTGCGTGTGTGCACCTGTGCGAGTGCGTGTACGTGTGCGTGTGCGTGTGCGCGTGCGCGTGCGTTTGGGTGCGGTTGGGTGCGGTTGGGTGCGGTTGGATGCGTGTGCATGTGCGTGTGCATGTGCGTGTGTTTGTGCATGTGCGTGTGCGTGGGCATGTGTGTGCACGTGTGTGTGCATGTGTGTGTGTGCATGTGTGCATGTGTGTGGTGTCAGGGGGGGGAAGCTGGGGCCGGACACACAGAGGCGGCCTCCCAAGATCAATAGATCCAGAGGCGCCGTGAGGACGATGGAGGCATCGATCCAGACTCCGCCGTGCTCCGCCAGCAGGACGAGCCTCAGCCAATCGGCGAAGCGCCAGTCCGGCGTCAAGGCCGTCACGTTCTCCCCGGGCCCGCGACCCCGCTGGATCTGAGCGTCCGTCAGGAAGTCGCGCCAATTCCCGGGGCAGCTGAAGCCAAAGAGGAGGCGAAGCTCGTGGCCCAATGGGCGATCAGACTTCCCTCCCCCCCCCGACGAGCACCACGACTGTTGAGAATCATGCTCCCCAGCGTAGGACGGGAAGAATCTCATGCCGAGATTGGCCCAGGATGCGTCCCATGATCTCCAGAGCACCTGGCGGCCCTCGTCTCTGCGCGGCACAGTCGGGACCCTGAGACATCCTGGAAACATCGAACGCATCACTATCGTGACCTCTTGCTCCTCTGAGGACGAGGACGATGAGCCCGAGGACGATGAGCGAGCGAGCGCGCGGCACGGGTGCTGGGCACCCGGGCGTGCCCCGTGCCGCCTGGGGCAGGGTGCGCGAGGCCGACCGGCCTCACACCGCTGGCAGGCAGAAGGCGGCCGTCCCCCCCCTCCATGTGGTAAGGGGGGGATGTGTCGACCCCTGCCCCAGGCTGCGTGGGGCTTTCGAATCGCCGGAGGACTTTGGGCCCAACCCTGGGGTCTGCACGACGGGGGCGCGCCCAGCCTCGATCGGCATGCGTCCGCAGCCCCCTCAGGGTGCAGCCCAGGGTTTCCCCCCTGTTTTCTGAGCGGCCAGACTCATGGGAGCCTCCCGTACCATCTTGTCGGCTCTTGCGAGTCGACGCTCATCCACGCTAAATCGACGCTAATCGACGCTGACCGACGCTAAACCGGCGCTATCTCATCGACTCCCAGACGTTCATCGGCGCTCATCGGCGCTGAAGACGGCTTCAAGAAGGCACACCAGGCTCCCCATGCTTTGCTGCCGCATTGGGGCGTATCCCAGAGTTCCCCCCCCTTTCCGGAGCGCCCAGGGTGCATCCCAGGGTTCACCCCCCGTCTTCCCGGAGCGGCCAACCGATCTTCGGGCGGAACACTGTCTGTTGGGGGAGAGCACTGGCGCCAACTGCCCACATGCACCGGGCCGCGCGGGGCCGACGGCACGCGTCACTCGACACTCCACCTCCAGCAGGGTGCAGAAGCAGAAGGCGTGGGCAGAGGGCAAAAAGTCCAACCCCAGAATGACCGCCCCGACAAGCGACGCCGTTTAGTAAACGCACCCAAGGAAGGAATCGAACAGGTGAACGTTTCTTGATTCTTCATTTCGACATTGGGCGGAAGGGGTGGAGGGGGGGGTCTGGCTCCGGACCTCTGCTTATTGCGACTGTTTGAAACAGGTCGTCCATTATGGGGGAGGCTGCTCGAAACGGGCGCCAAAAAACATCCAAGATCCTCGCCATGGGGGGGGGACGGGGGAGTTGGGGGGCCGCGCCGATCGGCAAAACAATAAATAAAAAACGATCACAGCAGGGTGGCAGGGCTGTTTGGCAAACGCCCAAAGGCCGTTCAGTAGACGCCAAAATCATCGGGTCTGGGTGGTTTCTCTTCCCCTGGCGTGGGGCCAGGAGGACACGACCGGCAGGCTGCCCCGGCAAGGCTTAGGTCAGGCATGTCCCCCTGCAGGCGGAGGTTGGGCGAAAACAAAAAATACTCAGCCTTACCCTGGCGACGTACCCAACCCCTGCGCAACGCGGGGCACGAGTTGCCCGGGAAACGTTGTACGAAGGTGATGACATGACATGGGCGCATGAAATTCTGCGAGCGGCATTCGTGAAGCTCGCAGCCCCCAAGGGATGGCGAGGTCCCGCTCAGATCTGCGTGGTGCCTCACTCTGCTGGACCCACCGGCAGCCCTCGAAAGTGGCGACAGTTCCGAGGATCGCAGCCACCCAAGGACGGCGAGGTCTCGCTCAGATCTGCGCGGTGCCTCACTCCGCTGGACCCACCAGCAGCCCTCGAAAGTGGCGACAGCTCCGCAGATCGCAGCCCCCCAGGGACGGCGAGGTCTCGCTCAGATCTGCGCGGTGCCATACTCCGCTGGACCCACAAGCAGCCCTCGAAAGTGGCGACGGTTTCGCAGATCGCAGCCCCCCAGGGACGGCGAGGTCTCGCTCAGATTTGCGCGGTACCTCACTCCGCTGGACCCACCAGCAGCCCTCGAACGTGGCGACAGTTCCGCAGATCGCAGCCCCCCAGGGACGGCGAGGTCTCGCTCAGATCTGCGCGGTGCCTAACTCCGCTGGACCCACCAGCAGCCCTCGAACGTGGCGACAGTTCCGCAGATCGCAGGCCCCCAGGGACGGCGAGGTCTCGCTCAGATCTGCGCGGTGCCTCACTCCGCTGGACCCACCAGCAGCCCTCGCAAATGGCGACAGTTCCGCAGATCGCCCCCCCCCAGGGACGACGAGGTCTCGCTCAGATCTGCACGGTGCCTCACTCCGCTGGACCCACCAGCAGCCCTCGAAGGTGGCGACAGTTCCGCAGATCGCAGCCCCCCAGGGACGACGAGGTCTCGCTCAGATCTGCGAGGTGCCCCACTTCGCTGGACCCACCAGCAACCCTCGAACGTGGCGACAGCTCCGCAGACCGCAGCCCCCCAGGGACGGCGAGGTCTCGCTCAGATCTGCGCGGTGCCTCACTCCGCTGGACCCACAAGCAGCCCTCGAAAGTGGCGACAGTTCCGCAGATCGCAGCCTCCCAGGGACGACGAGGTCTCGCTCAGATCTGCGCGGTGCCTCACTCGAGTGCACTCCGCTGGACCCACCAGCAGCCCTCGCACGTGGCGACAGTTTCGCAGATCGCAGCCCCCCAGGGACGGCGAGGTCTCGCTCAGATCTGCGCTGTGCCTCACTCCGCTGGACCCACCAGCAGCCCTCTAAAGTGGCGACGGTTTCGCAGATCGCAGGCCCCCAGGGACGGCGATGTCTCGCTCAGATCTGCACGGTGCCTCACTCCGCTGGACCCACCAGCAGCCCTCGCAAATGGCGACAGTTCCGCAGATCGTCCCCCCCCCCCCCAGGGACGGCGAGGTCTCGCTCAGATCTGCGCGGTGCCTCACTCCGCTGGACCCACCAGCAGCCCTCGAACGTGGCGACAGTTTCGCAGATCGCAGCCCACCAGCAGCCCTCGAAAGTGGCGACAGTTCCGCAGATCGCAGCCCCCCCCAGGGACGGCGAGGTCTCGCGGGAGACAGGAGGCGGGAGACAGGAGAAAGGAGGCAGGAAGCGGGAGGCGGGAGGGAGGCCTTCGACCAGAGCAAAAACAAATAAGGCACAGCTGGGGGAGGTGCGATGGGGGGCGCCCGTCCTCGATAGCGATGCGTCCGAACGGCCCCCTGGGTGTGTACGGCGGGTTCGTGCCATAACGATCCTCGCGTTGGCTTCTGACACCCCGTGAATCGTTCAACCACAGTCAACCCGTATCATAAGGATGCGCGGTAGGGGTGCAAGGGCCTAGGAGGTCCATGGTAACGTTTTCCGAACGACGTTGGTCAGCGAAAGTCGCCCAGGATGGGTCCAAGGGGCAAGGATGAAAGGGTACCCTTGGGAAGGTTGCCCATCTTTACTGTGCGGGCTGACTGCATGAACGATCGACGGTTATCCGATCGCCAGATCGTTCCATACTGGCGGATTCTGGGTCACCGACGGCGCTCGGCCTTGAACTCCCGCGGCGGGGTCGTCGCCCAACACGCGCATATCGTAGACCTGCCGTTGGCCCGAGTGTCCCCCCCTCCCGATCCCCCGAGGCAAACCTCCAGGACCGGAGGCGAGACATCGGCCGAGGTCGCGACAGCCCCTCCGCTTCAGCCGCACCCCGCATTCCCGGCGTGCAGCGCGCGGACCTCGTGGCCCGGCGCGAAGAAGCGCCACGACGCACGGGCAAGGTGCACCGCCTTGGGCACGTAGGTGGGGTCGCTCCAGAAGGACCAGATCGCTCGGGCGCTCGTCAACGGGGCGGGAATCAGTCCGCGAGAGAAGGCACACCTTTCCACCTCCCTTCTGGGGCCGCGGTGGCAGCCTGGAGGCCTTCTAGGGCCCCCTCAGGGCAAGGCCACTGCCCTGGAATCCTCGACATCTCCCCCGTAAATGCCCCCCCCCCTCTTCCGGGGCAGCGATAGGCGGGGGGACTGGCTCAAGGGGGAAGCATCGACCTGGAACCAGCGATACGTCGCCGATGTATCGGCGATCTAGGCGGCCCCCGTTAGCGAATCTGCACGCTCCTGGGCAGGGTGGAACTTCCAGACTCCTGTCGGCGATCAGTGGGCGATCTGGGTGTCGATGTACTCCCAACCCGAGCCTCTCCCCCCCCCATCTGGGGAAACCACAAGGTACCGATGCCGCTGCTCCCTGGACCTCTCCCGGGGTGCGCTCGGACCAGAACTCCGGGGCGAGCCCGGACGTGGCGACGAGGGCTCCCCATAGGAGGCCCACGGAGGGGAAAAAGCGAGGCGCCCGACCCCCGAGAGGTCCCGCTCCCGAGCGCCCGAGATCGTCTTCGGCACGCCGGCGTGGTCGCCGCCGCCCTGGCTCGGGGGGCACGCGCTCCAGCCCGAGGAGGCCCCGCTCGCCTCGGGGGTGCGCCGAGGGGGGGGGCCGAGGAGGAGGGGGGGCCGGCGTGCGTCGTGGCCACGGCCCGAGGCGCGTGCGCGGACGAGGAGGGCGTTGGGGAAGGCCGTGCCGAGGGCGGACGAGCAACACACACCCATACCCACAGGGGGGGTCGTTGGGAGGAGGGCTGGCTATAGGTATGGGTGCGGGTTGTCGGACCCTGGGGAACGCTCCCGTTCGAGCGGGGACCCCCATCCGACAACACGCACCCATAGCCCTCTCCGACCCCCCTTTGGGTATGGGTGTGTGTTGTTGGTTCGTCAAAAGGGGGGGGCGGCGTGCGTCATGGCCCGAGGCGCGTGCGCGGACGAAAAGGGCGCTGGGGAAGGCCGTGCTGAAGGGAAGACCAAAAAAGGGGGCCGCGACATCCGGGAGGTCCCGTGGCCCCAGCCCCGGCATCCGCACGCGCCCCCACCCGTCGGTGGAAGGAGCGGGCGGGCGCGTGAGGTAGAGCGGCGCTGAGCCGATCTTGGGTTTCCACCCGCCCACCGAAGAAGAGAGAATGGGGGCAAGCCGCTCGACGACTGGCAGGAAGGCGTCGACAGAGCAGATTGGAACCTGGGAGCCCAGAAGGACCTACCTTCAACGACCGCTGGGTCATCCTCAACTCGGTGAGGACTCAACGGTTTATGATGTCCCTCGACTCGCGCTGGAGCTTCCACGATCTCTCTCTCTCTCTCTCTCTCTCTCTATGTATATATATATATATAGATATACACACATGTATCTCACTGGATGTCTGGATTTGCCTGGATCGACCTTGCTGTCTCTGGATTTACGTCGATACACCCTGATTGACTTGATCCACGCAAGTCGACTGGAGAAGACTCGCCAGCCTTTCTTGTTGCTTTTCTGACAACATGCTAATCGCAGCCTCTTGCTGACGACAGCGGGTCCGGAAAACGTAAAACAGACGAACGGAGGATACCGCACGTCCTTTGTTCGGCGACTCCGAAGGGTGTTGCTTGCAAAAGGTGCGGTTTGCAACTGGCACCCTGGAGGGCACCCTGCGGGGCAGGCGGGGAACTCGATTGATTTCTCCGCCGCGCCCCGAGGAAGCACGACGAGGACAGCG